TGAGCCGGCTCTGCGCCCGCCCCGGCCGCGTCGGTGCGGAGGCCGGGAGGCGGGGAGAGAAGAGGGAAGCGGCGAAGAACGCGGCTGGGAACCGAACGGCCGGGCGCGCGCCAGCCGGGCAGTCACGTGGCGCGCGGCGCGCGCGGCCTTCTGGGAGATGTAGTCCACAGACGTTACCCACGTCTCCACCCTCCCAGCGTCTCCTGGGCAACCGCAAAAGCCACGTGGCAGAATTAAGAAGCGGCAAAGCCTTCATCTTATCTTGCAGGAGTCCTTGCTTGTCTACACCACTTGTTCTAGTGACTTAACTGTATTAAGACGCCTATTAATTTCACATAAATGACAGTCCCAAAGTCAAGCAAGTCCTTGTGGAGTTCTGAAGATTTGAGAAACAGAAAAATGTTTGATGGCGGCAGCTGGCAAGTAATTAGATCTACCTGCAATATTGTCAGATGGCCAGGTCCCGCAGGGAAGAGTATCTGTTTTGCATTGTGCCAAAAGTATATCCGTGAGCCATTACTTTAACTCTCCCAGCCAGTTTCCACAGCTGAAATATATGTAATAACATGATGATGACACTGCCTTTAAGGCAAAGCAGGCCACCTTGAGATTTAGCAGGACTGCAGCCATTTCAAAACTGACAAAGGCCTCTTACTGGAATAATCTGACCACCTGCTGAGTTTTAGGGCGGTATGTCTAAGGTCAGATGAGAAATCAGGAATAGATATTTGAACTAAAAGAGGAATCAGGACAATTACTCAGGGGAAAGCAATTGACGTTGATTATGGTCAGGAATGATTTACACATGCTTCTACCCTGTACCTACAAATACTAGGAATATGTTGAGCTTCTCAAGACAGTTCAAAGAATCAGGCAAAACCAAACTCAAAGTATTTTGTATTATGATTTTGTATTATGTTTTTGCCTGGCAGACTTCCTCCAAATTGACCCAGTTATAAGCATCTCTTCAGACCTAGTTTCACAAACCAAAATGCTACATATTCTGCTCTAAGGTGATTTTAGTAGTGAAATTTTACAAATCTTTTGTATTTTTTTAAAGGGCTTGAAATGAAAAGGGTCTTGCCAGTGTTCCTAGGCAACTGTCATTATGTTGCTAGGCAAACGTTACAAATCACAGAGTAGATTAGGAATTGTCTCACAACATAGGAAGCATGAATTGGAGAGGCAGTTCTTCAATAAACTTATTGTACACGTAATGTGGAAGGTATTATCTTAGTCACCCACTTTCAAGATTTTCTGCGTAAGTATTATGATAACTGACTGATTTGACTACCTCAGTGCACAGTTAGTGCAGAAACACCAACAAGAAACCCATGAAACATTTCCACTAAATGCAATAGGGATTGACTCTTGGAATCAAAAAAAGGCAGTGGTGGGAAGACTGAAGAAACCCAAATGAGATCTGGAGTTTAGTTAAGGATATTATACCTATGCTAATTTCCTAGTTTTGTTTGTTCGTTTGTTTGTTAGGTTTTTGCCACAGAGCACATGTGCTCACCAGAGAGACAGTGAGAATGAAAAATCACCCCCCAGGCAGGATGGCCACACACAATCTCATCTCCTCCATTTCCCTCTCCCCTTGGGATTTTGGGCATGCACACACACATGCCCAGTATGATTTTCAAGCCACTAAGTCTGGGACTCGAACCATGGTCAGCCATGTGGGAGTCCAACACCTTAACCACATACCACCTGCTGGCCTCTAATTTTCTAGTCTTAACAAATGTGCCTTGTTATATGAGATGTTAACAATAAGGGAAGCTGGACAAACGATATACTGTCTGTACTCTTCTACAAATCTAAAGTTATTTCACATGAGAGGTGCAATAATAAGGCCCTCCCCACAAGAGATGGCCACATTCCAATCTCCAGAACCTGCGAATTCATTAGGCTAAATGGCAAAGGGAAATTAAGGTTACAGAAAGCATTAAGGTTGCAAATCAGCTGGCTTAAAAAAAAGGAGGCTATCTTGGATCATCAGGGTGGGCCGGGACCAGCAGTTAGCGTAATGGCTATGTCGCTGGACTCCCACGTAGTCAACCGCGGTTCGCGTCCTGGGCCCGGTGGCTTAAAACTCACGCCTAGGGTGGGTGTATGGGTGTGCGGATGTGCGCGCGTGCCCAAGATCCCAAGAGGAGAATGGAGGAGAAGGGATTGCGGCGTGGCCATACTCCCCTGGGGGGTGATTTCTTGCTTTCTATCTCTCTGTCTCTGTCTGTCTGGTGAGCACACGCGCCCTATAGTGAAAACCTCCCCCCCAAAAAAGGGTGGGCCTAGTGTATCAGGAAAGTGAAAAGTATAAGGAGACAGAAGAAGAGAGTTAGAGGGATATGTGTCTACAGAACAGGACCAGAGAGATGCAATGTGAGGACCAGGCAGAGCTGGCTTTGAAGACAGCAAAAGCCTAGGCATGCGGGCAGCCACCTTGAGATGCTGGAAAAGACAAAGAAACAGATGACCCCCTACAACCTCCCTGACGATATCCTGACTTTAACCCAATGTGACAGTGTCAGACTTCAGACCTACAAAACAATAGGATAATGAAGTTGAGAGCTAGGCAATGGTGCAGAGGTGAAGAACATGCTTTAAAAGGCAGTCCCAAATGGAAAGGTTCCCAGATCAAACGCAAAGCCTTCCTGAGTATGCTGAGCTCACATGTGCCCGTGATCTGGGGCTCATTGAAGGCTGGGAGTAGATTGTGGAGTCAAGACCCTGGTGGGGGGTTCTCTCTGTTTCTCTCTCTTTCTCTCTATCTCTGTCACAGAAGGAAAAAGGAAAGACAATCCAAAAAATAAATAAAAAATAAAGATAAGGTTTTTTTGTTTGTTTGTTTGTTTGTTTTTTAATATGGTGTTTTGTTTTGTTTGCTATAGGGCACATGCATTCTCCAGAGAGTCAGTGAGAGGGAAACTCTAAGGTGATTTTAGTAGTGAAATTTTACAAATCTTTTGTATTTTTTTAAAGGGCTTGAAATGAAAAGGGGCTTGCCAGTGTTCCTAGGCAACTGTCATTATGTTGCTAGGCAAACGTTACAAATCACAGAGTAGATTAGGAATTGTCTCACAACATAGGAAGCATGAATTGGAGAGGCAGTTCTTCAATAAACTTATTGTACACGTAATGTGGAAGGTATTATCTTAGTCACCCACTTTCAAGATTTTCTGCGTAAGTATTATGATAACTGACTGATTTGACTACCTCAGTGCACAGTTAGTGCAGAAACACCAACAAGAAACCCATGAAACATTTCCACTAAATGCAATAGGGATTGACTCTTGGAATCAAAAAAAGGCAGTGGTGGGAAGACTGAAGAAACCCAAATGAGATCTGGAGTTTAGTTAAGGATATTATACCTATGCTAATTTCCTAGTTTTGTTTGTTCGTTTGTTTGTTAGGTTTTTGCCACAGAGCACATGTGCTCACCAGAGAGACAGTGAGAATGAAAAATCACCCCCCAGGCAGGATGGCCACACACAATCTCATCTCCTCCATTTCCCTCTCCCCTTGGGATTTTGGGCATGCACACACACATGCCCAGTATGATTTTCAAGCCACTAAGTCTGGGACTCGAACCATGGTCAGCCATGTGGGAGTCCAACACCTTAACCACATACCACCTGCTGGCCTCTAATTTTCTAGTCTTAACAAATGTGCCTTGTTATATGAGATGTTAACAATAAGGGAAGCTGGACAAACGATATACTGTCTGTACTCTTCTACAAATCTAAAGTTATTTCACATGAGAGGTGCAATAATAAGGCCCTCCCCACAAGAGATGGCCACATTCCAATCTCCAGAACCTGCGAATTCATTAGGCTAAATGGCAAAGGGAAATTAAGGTTACAGAAAGCATTAAGGTTGCAAATCAGCTGGCTTAAAAAAAAGGAGGCTATCTTGGATCATCAGGGTGGGCCGGGACCAGCAGTTAGCGTAATGGCTATGTCGCTGGACTCCCACGTAGTCAACCGCGGTTCGCGTCCTGGGCCCGGTGGCTTAAAACTCACGCCTAGGGTGGGTGTATGGGTGTGCGGATGTGCGCGCGTGCCCAAGATCCCAAGAGGAGAATGGAGGAGAAGGGATTGCGGCGTGGCCATACTCCCCTGGGGGGTGATTTCTTGCTTTCTATCTCTCTGTCTCTGTCTGTCTGGTGAGCACACGCGCCCTATAGTGAAAACCTCCCCCCCAAAAAAGGGTGGGCCTAGTGTATCAGGAAAGTGAAAAGTATAAGGAGACAGAAGAAGAGAGTTAGAGGGATATGTGTCTACAGAACAGGACCAGAGAGATGCAATGTGAGGACCAGGCAGAGCTGGCTTTGAAGACAGCAAAAGCCTAGGCATGCGGGCAGCCACCTTGAGATGCTGGAAAAGACAAAGAAACAGATGACCCCCTACAACCTCCCTGACGATATCCTGACTTTAACCCAATGTGACAGTGTCAGACTTCAGACCTACAAAACAATAGGATAATGAAGTTGAGAGCTAGGCAATGGTGCAGAGGTGAAGAACATGCTTTAAAAGGCAGTCCCAAATGGAAAGGTTCCCAGATCAAACGCAAAGCCTTCCTGAGTATGCTGAGCTCACATGTGCCCGTGATCTGGGGCTCATTGAAGGCTGGGAGTAG